TTCTACTTTACAACGAAATTGCAGTAGATCTGAAACCCAACAACTTCAATGTTTCATTATCCCTCAGATCCATCAAAAGAAACAAAAATTTTGGACACATGTTTTGCATACTCGTCAACCTGGGAAAAGTCTCATGTTTAAACCCGAAAAACAAGAAAGTAAAACTATATTCCCATCATTTCCTCTATTCCATTCATTGGGTTTTAGGCTTCTCAATCTTCACATAGGGAAGAATCCCCATGAAAGTGGACAACCTTGGGGGGGCCCACCCCCGCGGCTGTTGAGCTCGACAAAACATCCAGGAATGTGTTTGCACAGTAGGAATTCAAGCCCCATGAAAAACATGCCATAGAAGCATGGCCTTGAGGGTTGATAGGCCAAGTGGATATCTTTTCACAGAAAAACACCGATCACCAGATCCAACAGAAACTGCCAAGGAAAAAGGGTAGCCACATACCACTTTGCAAGGCGCTTAGCAGATGTGTCCTCTGTATGAATGTAGTACTTGTACATTCGAGGGATACAAAGGAGGCAAAGAATCACATAATGCACCTTGAAACCAATCCCAAACCGGACAACCGCATGGACAATGGCAAATGCAGCACCATAGAGAAAGAGGAAAGTGGGCATAGTACTGCGGTAGTGCCAGTCTGGTGAGTAGAGGATATACATATATAGGAGTATCTCCCATACCATAGGTGTTTCATCACTCTGCTGTTGCCTGTAAATAAATTTCAATTATAATCTAAAGCTGCTTGATAAACTAAGAGATGAGGCGATATCTATGTTTTCCTCCAGGACTTCTACTTGATAATATTGCTAAGAAATAGATGACTAAGTTAAGATTATTGCATGTGCACGTGCTTGTGTAAGATCAATAACAGATTCATCTTACATAATCTTAGTAACGCTCTTGACGTGCACATAATTTTTGCACAAGATAAATTGTTGCGTGGTATCAAATAATAACACATCCGAATTCTAAAAGATAAAGAATAGTAATGAGTAATACTTACACACGCTGCAAGGTGGCATGATATAACATGCTTCCAATAGCAAGTATCATATTAGATATGTGAAGAATGCTAAATCTCTTCTCAAACCGCTGCACTAGGGCACTAATAAGACCAATGAGTGCGAAAAGAATGCTTGGGATATTCGATATGGTGTTGTAAAATTCTGCAATATAAGAGGAGTAGGCATAATTCTTCTCACAACATTCAATAGTGGAAGTGACAGGACCCCAGAAGCTCGATATCCCATCAGCCATTCTACCTTCTGAATGCCCAAAACTATTTATATATTCAGTCTAGTCTTCTGTACTATAGTATCACAGAGTACATAAAATCCTCAAACCACATCCTGCAAAATACAAAATTGTTTTCAGCAGATCCAACATTCATCGAAAAAATAAAAGACATAGTAGTTATATTATTTATAGAAGATGACTTGTACCATCTTCCATTATTGTCAAAATTAAATTCTACAAACATTTAGGGGAAAGAAAAAGAAAAAAGAAACTCCACCTAATGTAGTTGCTCCAAGAAAAGTTACAAATTCATATCTAGGTTAATCTCATCCGTTACATTTTAAGGCCAATTTGAGTAACAATCTGACACTTTCCAATTAAGCATTTCACGAAGGTTTCGGGACATCGCATAAAGCAAGACGAAATTAATATAAAATAACAATCTAACTGATCCATCACAAGTTCATCAGAAAATCAGAAGTAAATTGCCTTGAAACTGCATACTCCCAAAGCTAACAGAAGTGAAAAAGAAGATCAACACAATGCAAAACAAGGTTACTGGACTTTGTTCGGACAAACAAAAATGTCAACATGGTTGATCAATTAAAATTTTAAAAAGAAACAATAGCATAACCAGGTTTACTGTATTTAAATTTATCCAAGCAAAAATATCTTCTAGAGAGAGAAAGAAAACCCAATTAATCAAAAGAACAGTGATTCAATCATTTCACACAATTAAGCACATCTCTAATTATTAAAAAGTACCCATCAAGGTTTCTTCAAAATCCTAATGAAAAAATCAAATCAGAAGTTGCTTGTGAACACCTAAAACCTCCCTTTAAGAAATCTAAAAGTCCAATGCAACCAAGATCACGAACACTCGCATTCTAAAGGTCTGGTTGTCATGAAATTAAATTTAATTACTTACCCATAAACCAAAATTTGTAAATTCGAGATCCCCGTTCAAAAGGGCCCGTCACCCTAACCCATTACAGAAAAATCCCTCGACTCCATGGAAATACTAATAAGATCCAATCCATCAGTACAAAGAATAAAAAGAGGAGGAAAACACAAATTTTTTTTTCTTCAAGCAAATGAAACTATAGCCAAAAATAAATCGAACCCAGATAAATTTAAATGAAACACCATAACAGAAATATCTACTAAGAACATCGAATTATACTTGGTTCGAAAGCACAAGGGTACTTGAAAAAAAAAAAATTAAAAAAAAAAAACACAAACCTTTTTCATGGAGATGAGAGATCTCATTTTCCTTTCCGGTTTAAATACAATCTCTCTCCCGTATATATATGTATATATATATATTTATATATGTCAATCAATAAGGGGTGATCTTCTTCTCCAAAACAAAAACTAGGGGATAATAAGAAAACGATAATATCTTTTTAGGCATTCGAGGCAGGGAAAGAGAGAGATGGAGACTAGTGGTTTTTTTTTTTTTTCCTTTTCTTCGTTTTTTTATTTTTCTTAATTTTTAATTTTATTTTCTCGTTTTAGTGGAGGCTAATTTTGACTTTTTAAAGTAACCCCGCTGTTTACTGTCCGACGAGGAAACTGTTTTCACACGTCGCGATAACATTTCCCCGCAGCTTAAAGTGACAGAAACTTGGGCCCGGCCCATTTTTTACTTTACCGTTTTGACCCAATATTATTTATATTTATATTTTGGCC